GAACTTGTCTAATGAAGCTTCCAGGATTGCAAGAAGATCATGGAAGTTGAGAGGGCCAGGCATGGGAGAGTATTGTGAGAAAGCGCTGCTTCTTGGGAGCCTGATGTTATTGGGTTGTTGGGTAGTTTCTATAACAGTGTAGCAAAATAGGAGTAACAGTGAGGAGTCACAGGAGTGGATGGTATTAGAAACTTAGAGACTTTGAGGAAGATGATAATGATCAGGACAGTGATGACTGAGGAAGGACCAGAATGGAAGTGCGGTCCAAGTCACAGAGGGGAGAGGGGATGACAGTGGTAGCAACCTTGGTGAAATCAATGGTATCATAATTTCCTTATGTGTTATCTTATTTTCTCTCTAGCATCATTTCACTCACAACACCTCTTCTTCCTCTTTACTTTTCTCTTCCTTTGCTATATCTTCTTTTTCACTAGTGTTTATTAAGCATTTACTATATGCCATACAATACTCTGCACAAAAAAATTTTTATGATCAAATGATCCCTACCTCCTAGAGATCTAGACCAGTAAGCAGTCAGTCAGCGTGTGAGAGACAGGTGAGGAAGCCCTAGTTCTATTTGGGTTAAGGTGTTGACTGGTATTTCATCTAGTTTGAAATACTTCTTTCAGCACTAAGGAATGCAGAAAGCAAAACAGACAGACAGACAGAGGGGCAGAGGGACAGAAACAGATAGAAACAAAAATAGACACAGAGAAAAGAGATAGGTCACTAAAGGAAATGATTATCTAGTTCCTTCTAAGGGTGCAATGTTATTTCAAGTACTTCAGAAAACATTAATTCATCCAATTCCCATAGCAACCCTAAATGGTAAGCACTTATCATTTTTATAGAAATGGAGGGACAGATAGTTTAAGTAACTTGCTCAAGGTCACACAGCCAGTTAGACTAAGCAAGATTTACACCCAGATTTCAAATTCAGATTCTATGCTCTTTACACTTCTTAAGCTACAAGCCCTATTCTTTTCAGACACATTACATAAACAAAAATATGTGTATTGAGAAATACAGGGTTCTTGATTGTGTATGTGAGTCTTAAATGATGCACTGAAAAAAAGGATCATTATTAGTGTTTCTTTCATTAAATGAATTTAGGATATTTATTTCATTTTTTAAATTTTGGATAAAAGATGCTACACGCATTCATTTCTGAGTATGGTTACAATATGCTGTCATCAAACTAGTTTTTGCTGAATAATCTATTCATGAACAGAACAAATCAATAACCTGGACCTATTTCCAAGTTATGAGATGAATATTTAAACACCACTATGTATTTCTGGTCAAATCACTTTCAAAGATATTGGTTCCAATATCTTTTCCAGATATCTAGGGACTGTAGATCCACCCTCACCAATGTGTATTATAAACAGTGCTTCTTAAATTGTCCCAAAGAACAACCACTGCATTATACAGATTAACAGATAACCTGATTAATTTTCCCTTCTTCTCTCCTCTCCAGTATTTGCATCCACTGATAGTTCTAGCATCTCCCTTGGCACAGGGGATAAATCCAAAGGGCTGAAATTGCTGGAACAATTTGATTTGCCCCATGGATTAAAGTTGGAAACTCAATATGTGCCCCAAACTCTAGGCTGTGTCCAACCCTTAATGTCTGGAAGTGGAATGCAGACAAGAAAGTAAGTGTCTGTGAGGAGCCCTGAGTCTCACCTGCTGGTGTCCAGGGTCACATACTCAGCTCCTTGTTCCTTCCTAGGCATGAAAACTAAGGCTCTGGTCCTGAACTCCTGTTGTCCTTAAAGACAGTGCAGCAGTGTTACTCCACTGTCCTTACATGGCTTCTTTTTTATTTTCCCCAAAAGATCACTTTCTAAAGGAAGAAACAATAAATCTACATCATGAGCTCAGTAGCTATGAGATCCCAATTTCTCTTTTTCTTAATTTATCTTATAAAAAGAAAAAAGAGAGGGAAGGAGCAATAACAATACCAGCCCTGTTTACCTCACAGACATAAGATTAAACAAAGTTATAATGAATGTATAGAGGACTAAATATTATGAAAATATGAGAGCTTTTGTGTATTATTTGAGTGATGCTGCCTGGTCCACCTTCCCCTCCTCCTGCACCCGTGTTCATGTTCCCTGGGCTCCATCTGTAAGTACACAGTCCTGCTGTGAATGTGTCCAGATCCACCTGCCTCTCCTGCTTTCTTTACACTCTTTCCACTGCCTGAAATACCTTTCTATGTCACGTCAGTCTGTCGATTTGATACTTTCCTCAAATATCATCTTCTTTATTCTAAAATAGTGCCCCTTTTCTCCTTTGTACCATAAAATGTATATCTCTCACATCACACTCAGCAATGGGATGAAAATTGTCTGCCTAGATATTCTCAGTGTATATGAATTGTTACTGTAATGTTTGTTGGATCAAATTATACTTCCCCTCTCTCTATGCTTCCCTCTTGTCTCCAGCACCTTGAGACTAGAACATATGTCCTGGGGAGACTTTGGATCAGCAGATACGATGGACAATCTCTGTGGCTCAAGGGCAATTAAGGCTTTCCCTCCAGTTGACCCAAATACCACAGGAAATGGTACAAAGTCAGGAGAACAGAGGTTGACTCTATTAGGTGAGCTACAAAGGCATAACATCTCTGAAAGCACAAACTGCAGATCAGTGGCCTTACCCAGATGAGTTTATGTGAACTTTTTTCAAATTACATATTCTCACATATATTAAAAAGAAATATATTTAGTGCATCAAACTTATGATTTCATAGATATTCTTTAAGAAAAGCTTTGGCCTTTGAATAAAAATGAATTAATTTAAAGAAAAACATTATATAAATAAGGATAACAGGATGTGGCCAAACTATGCAATGGCAGTGCTCCAAGTTCCAGAAACTGGGTGTTATGGTTTGTGTCTACACATCCCCTCAAAGCCTCATGCGGTCATAGATGGGCATTTCAGAGGTACTTAAACCTGGACTGTGTGACACTGGGATTGATTCATGGTGCATTGAAAGGATTAAAGGCACTAGGATTAAGGGTGTGAGTGCCACCTGCCCTAAGGATAAGTACCCTGGATAAGACATGAGGGACAGAAAGAGGGCTAATGTGGTCTCCTCACTTGCTTTCGTCTGCTTGCCATGAACTGTTTCTCCTCTGTGATGTCTGCCTGCTATGTCACCCTGTTTTGGAGCCAGCCACTATAAACTGAAACCTCTATAAACTGTGAGCTAAATAAACCTTTTCTCCTTTAACTTTGGGTGTCAGGTATTTTCTCTCACCAATGAGAAAAGTAACTAAGCCACTGGTCAAAGAGAAAATGCTTCTGAGGTTGTGGAGCTGGAGGTAAAAATAAGGAGGCCGATTCTATGGGTCAGATCTACTGGTAGCAGTCCCAGTAACTTCAGAGTTATTTACAAAGCCCTGTTACTATGCAAAACGCTTTGTATGAAAAGAAGAATGAAATGGAGCGTTTTTGTATCACATTGGTTTTCATTAGAATGAAGAAAGGTGCTCATATATTGGTCAGGGGGAACTCATCAAACTTCACAGCATTGGATACCAGATTTCCTAATAGCCATGGGGTTTTACACCTTTCCCCAGGACTGGCAGATACAAAGAACTCAGATATGGAATTGCTTTTCTTTTTTTCCTACAAAGCATAACACTTTACAGAAAGAAAAACACTTCAAAGGCAGTCCTTTTCTCGCATACATTTCAGGGCTCCATTCAAGATCCACATTTATCTTCCTTATCCAATTACAGGATCAAAGCAGAAGTGTTTGGCCTACTTCAGGGGTTTAAAGACATTGAGGGTAAAACTAAGAACATTTAAAACTACCTTCTTTATGCCGCATGTCTTCCATAGGAGAATTGGAATCCTCTCCCCTTGCTGTCTCTTAACTAGTTTCTAGATGCAAAAAGTCAGGTCAGAGAGTTAACATGCTCTAATCATCCAAGCATAAAAGACTCAGTTACATCTCTGTAAATCCAATCTAATCTCAGCGTGTCTGGTGTGTTTTTTGTGCTCCACACCATTACAAAGTCCTTTCTAGAATCCACTGCCAAATTCTTGATTTTTCCTGATTAGTTTTAAAGACCCCATGCTAAAATAAAACCGGTGGGGAAAAAAAATCTAAAATGCTACTTCCTGAGTCTCCCTAAAGCTACTGGTTCTAGCACATCTGCTCATTTTAATGCTGCAATATGGAGTTCACATTTTCTTAAATAAGATATGGCTGCCTTTCATATTACCACTCTGGGATTTGGGACCCTGCTCTTAAAAAAAAAGCAAATACAACATCCTCAAAAATATTTAAGTGAACAGACTGCCTATTGGTGAGTTGATTTTTCTCTGTGGGGATAAATCTATTGGCAACCACCAGAATAGGGGTATAAAAGATGACTTTGGGCAGCTGCTGCCATTTGTTTCAGCGGGAAAAGGAGGGTTTTGTCTCTCCCCAGGGGTTAATATTGTGATGTTCTGAGTGTCACCAGGGCTCTGTTTCTGAAGGGTTACACTAGAGAGGTGAAATGCTTTGTGGTTTATTACAAGATCACGGCAGAATATTTTGTGCATGCTGTGATTTGTATCACCCATTTGTGCACAGGCCATAAAAGTGCACTTTTTATCAGGAACATTTGTGAATATATAACAGCACTGAAGACATATGGCCACTAAATAATTCACAGTTATCTATCTTTTCAGCAGATTTCTTATACACATACCATGTTTTAATGCCTAGTTTGCTTAGAAACAATATTCTTTATGACCCTCCCAATATAAAAATGTTTACTGACTGGCAGCAACATATGGATACCACGGGATTAGGTTGTAAGGAAAGGAAAAGCTCTCTCTTTTCTCTACCTCTTCCCCTTTTCATTTTTCCTTTCAACTCATCCAACTGGCACCAATCTTGTGGGAAAGGGTGCCTCTCCCCAAAGTGAATAGGAAATTCTGACTGGGCTATAAGGTGAAAGTCACTAACTTGCCTCCTTTTCTCTTTTCAGTTCCATATCCATTTACAGCCCCAAAGAGAACCCAAATGCATTTGACACTGCGGCATTCTTCCAATCTGTGGGGAATTTCCTGGGGATCTTCACCGGCTCCTTTGCAATGGGGTCTGCATATGCTGTTGTCACAGCACTGATATCCTTTGTGTGTGTGGAGAGCTGGGGAATTCTCAGAGCAGCCAACATCCATGGAACATTTCTGATGATGAAAAACCTCCAGAGTGGTAAATGGCAAGGGATTCTGGTTAAAATTTAATACACATTATGAAGCCAGCCTCATTTTGAATGACCCTAGGAAACAGAGATTGATACCAGTGCCACAGAGAATCAGATTCCTTTTTACCCAAGGTCAATTCTAGCCCTATTGGTAATGTCTGATCTTAGAATATGAAGAGTTCTTAAATAATTGCCACTTAGAAAAGGGAGTGGGCAGGGAATATCAGGATTTCCTATACTAGGGTCAAGAAGAAGAAATGAAGATTCAAGGTCAAGAACAAGATAAGATTGCATGGGGATAATAAGCTGGGTATACTTAGCCTAATTTTTAAACTATGCCAATCACTAAGTCACAGGGTAGGAAGCCAAAGATCACTATGGGCTTAAAAGACATATACAGCTACTTTGTTGAAGGGAACCTGAAAGTGATGCAGGGATGACATGTTTTCTGTAGCTGGGGTACAGTCTCATTGGATTTCTTCTTTTTTGTTAGGGAGTTGGGAGGATGGGTTGAGTTCCTACAGAATTTGATCAGAGAAAGAGGCTGGTTTAGTGGGCTACTCACTTCAAATAGTTAGATGGGGAAAAAGTAAGTCAGAATTGAGGAGGAAAGCCAGAGGGCCAGTGTCAAGAGTAGGAGCTTAGTGGAAGCCAGAGAAAAGAGGCACAGCAAAGGACCAAGGGCCAAAGACCTCAGGGAAAAGAAGAGGAAGGAGTCTGTCAGGCCCATGGCAAAGAAAGCAAAATGTTGGGGACTTTCTCCATGAGTATTGGCCCAGAGATTCACTACATAGCTGCTAAAAGGCTCAGTTTTACTAAAAGTGTCTACAAGGAGTCGGAAGATGAGTAAAACATAGTCTCTACTCTCAGTTGGTGACAAACTTGGGGATAAGCCAGAGCTCACATAAATTATCAGGACTATAAAAATTCAGAGATGAAGCCAGGTGTAGTGACACACTCCTATAATCCCCTAACTTGCCTAGAAGTCTGAGACAAAAGGATTACAAGTTCAAGACCTGTCTCAAAAAAAAAAAAATTTTAAAAATGGGTGAGGATGTAACTCAGTGCAAAGGCCCCAAGTTTAATCTCTACTACTACTACTACTACTACTACTACTACTACTAATAATAATAATAATAATAATAACTACATAAAAACCAGAGCTGAGGAAGCCATTGTTATTGGGACAGTAAAAATTAGGCCATTGTCCCCAGAAAAGACCAATAGACCCTAAGCCAACTATAGTATTCTGAAAATAATTTGACAAGCAGTGTTTATAGGAAGAGTAGCATCCTTTAATAGGTAGAGGTGGGACTGACTGATGTAGCATGCAGAAGTGCCTGAAAGGACCATTGGGCTCCAACTGGTGAGAAATGGAAGATGAGGTGGTAAAATGGATGGAGTCAGCTCATGAAGTCCCTTGAGGTGTTTTCTTAAGAGTCTGAACTTCTTTCTGGCTCCACATTAGCTGCTGAAGTGTTCTGCTCAGAAGACGACACCCTGACGGTCAGATGTTTAAAACATCTGAGGATCTGGTGCATAGGGTGTGTCAGAGGAAGGGGATTAGAACTAAGCAAAACCGTAATGTGGAGGGAGCATCAGGAAGGAGACCAATGACTAATTGTTTATTAGAGATAAAGAAGAGGAATCAAAGCTCACTCCAAAGTTTTCTCCTGGAACCCTTAGAGAATGACACCTCCATTGGCAGAGATAAAATAAGTCAGAAAATGCAGAGCTGGTTTCCAACACCAAAAATTGACATTACCTAGTACTTATGACATGCCAGGCTCCCCTACTACTTGTTTCACTTGGAGTACCTCATCTAACCTTCACAAAGATCAAATACTACTTTTATTGGACCTTGAAGCTGAGAAAGGGTATTATTGCCAAGGTCATGCAGCCAATAAGTAAACCCAGAGAGTAAGAATCGAGAGCAGCTCATGCTCCTAATCACTACTCCCTACTACCTTTTAATTGTTAGGTAGAATTGTGGTGGAGGTCATGTGTTATTTAGAATATTATGAGTAACAGTGATAATGATAGGAACATTCAGTGAATGTCTCAATGTTCCAGACCTTTTTTGTGCGCCTCTGCACTTGAATCAACCCTGTAAAATAGCTTATTATTATCCTCTCTTTATACATGTAGAAACTGAGGAAATGAAGTAGCTCACTCTGGGTCACCTATCAGTCATAATGAGCAAGATAATAATATCATCTAACATTTTCTAGAACTTTGCCATGTATTAGCCATTGCTGTAATCATTTTGCATTTATAATAATTGTCTCAGACAGTTTTTACAGGAACACTACAAGGTAGATACTGTTATTATCCTAATTTTACAGATGAAGAAGCTGGAATGATTAAAGTTAAATAACTTGACTAAGGTCATACAGTTAAGACATTTCAGGCCTACGATTGCAAACTAAGCTGTTCACTACCATAGAGTGCAGTAGGTACAGCAGTTGAGAATGGAACTCTTCTCTGCCTGATGTGAGGAGAAAGTGTTGACACAGAAGTAAACAGGCTCAGAAGGGAAGGAAAACATTCCTAGAGTTGAGATGTCTGCCAGAAGATTGGATTAGGTCTGGAAGACAGGATATAAGGACCTAAGAGTTGAGGGTTGGGGAAAGAGCCCTCGGTCACAGTGGCATGTGGTCACATGTGGCGCTTGGAGGCTTTTTATCAGACTCTACGAACTAGCTATGAAGGAGGCAATCGCATACTGCTGTCCCCTCTACCTTCATTCCCTCTATGTCTCCATTCTGAGTTGGTCTCCTCAGGTTGTGGCTCCAAGCTCTGGACTTGGGGGTTGACTGAGAACCACACTTTTGTGGAGGAGAGACCCCTTTGATATTCTGTTACTTGCACTGGCCTGGACTTTCTCCTTAAAACAGCCTAGAAGAGAGAATTCAGAGAAACAAACTCTCTGAAACAAAGGCTTCCCTCGAAGTATCAAGAAAGGATAATGGAAAGGGGCTAAGAGCAGCCCATTTTTTACTCCAGATAAAGAACTGCCTCCAGATACTTACAAGAGTCTATTTCCAGTAAAGATGTTTTGCCAAAAGCATTCATTTAAGTCACTAACAGAAAAGTTGGATACCACTTGTTGCATGGGAGGCACTGTTCTGCATATTTAACACATATCCACTGGCTTATATTATTGGTGATATGGATTTTACCATTATCCCCATTTTCCAACAGGAAATCAGAGCCATGGAGGCCAAGACACATGTCCAAGTAGATGTAGTGAATCTGAAGTCAGGAGAGTTAGCTTCCAGAGGCCATGGCTCCAGTGATGGTTCTGCCTCTAGGCATCTGTGTTTCCTAAAACTTTACATTACAGTTTTAACACATTTCCTCTCATTTTACTCTCCACACAGTGGAGCAAGCATTATTCTCATTGCCAATTCACAATGGAAAGGGTAATACACTGATCAGAAGTCACACAGCCAGTGACTGGCCAAGCCAAGACTAAGATCCAGATATTCCATGCTGGAAGGCATGTTTTTGCTTCCTTCACCTGCTGGAAACATCTTTTAATGTGAAATATGCTATAAATTTTATACTAGAAACGTAAAAATGGCAACTCACATCCCCTTATTTGTCAGAGCATTTTATGCCTAATATGGACAAAATTACATATAATCCTTTCCCATCAATCACATACTCCTTTCTTTGTCCAACTTGGGTTACTATCCCTTCATTGTATTTGCAATTTACAGATTATTGTCCAAGTGTCATCCTAGCCAAAAGGAACCATTACCTGCTTGAGGGCATCTTGTCTGACCTAGAAATAATAAAACTTCTCCTCATACATCCTGCTCATATCAAGAGGGAATGGGAAGCTCCCTTGTCACTTAATGTAGCTTCTTCTCCTGACTCTATTCTATCCCTAAGTGCCACCTGCACACAGATTGCATCCACCCAACTCCACCCCACCCTGGTGAGCAGCACTGCCTTCCACACTGACACACATCTAGCATCTGATTTCAACTGTGCTCTCCTTGGCATTGTTGTCCTCAATCTGCTACAGTTCTCCCAGGAACACACAAGCATGGCTGAGGCAAAATCAAGAGGTTTTGTACCACAGTTTTACACTCTTAGTAGATACCTTTTTTAAAAAAAAATCCAAATAGAGGTTAGAATTTTTATGGGCATATTCATCCTCAGTGAAGCAGGGAACTCATGGTGGTCTTTCTAGCAGGGCCCATGGAGAGTGACGCCCTACCAGTCAGGCCTGAGAATCGTCTTTAACTCAAAACTACCATCACCAGATCAGATTATCAGATTATCAACAGAGATTTCGCTGTGAAAGTCTGTTTCCCTTAACACGTCTTTGTTACTTGACCAAATTCACCAAGCTGTGTGAGTTCCCGATGCTGGAAACAGGCTTGTTTTTCCTCCTTTCTTGGAGTGCCTTCCTGTCTGCTGAGGCTGCCGGCCTAACAGGTCAGTACTTTAGGTTGCACTGAGAACTAGACGTGTGAATCTGTGTGTCCATCTGGCTGTGTGTGCTCCTCCCTGATCCAGCAGGAGGTGAAATGAAATCTCTCTTGAATAGTGAATGTGAATATTTGTATCAGTCAGGCCTTCCGTGGGCATCCTGTGGAGAAATAATAATAATTCATCCATTTAGTACAGAATAACAGACATCTCCAGAATGCTCTTTTATCCTTGCTGGACAGGAGGGGATGTTGAAATGACTGATTCATACTGGTGATGGATGACATAATAAGCCTCCATTCTGTGTGAAAGGACACACACAAATGCTGTATGGAGAAGGGCAGTGGCTGTCCAGCCGTGGGATCCAGAGTAGGCAGCCTCTCCAAGTGTGAGCATCTCCACTGCATTAGTGTTGAGGACTGGTGTGAATGCACCAGTCAGAAAACCAAGTAAACCTGTGTGCTCTGCAGTTCAGTGTCTCTTACACAGAAAGTCCACACAAAGTCCTCTGAGCTGTTCCGAGATCCCAGGCACCACGGATACTGTGATCTGGGTTCCATAATTAGATTACCTTTTTGTAATAGTGAAGGTTTGTGCTTGGGTAGCAACAATTAGATGCTTTTCCATGTAGAAGCATCACTGGGGCTCCCTGAAAATGTCAAAGCTATTTCTCTCCTAAAGCCCAATTCTCTGCTTCTCCCAGGCTTCAATCCTAGCGGCCTTTCTGCCCAATACATCTTAACTGACATTCAAGTGGTGAGAATCTCCACTAAGTGTTAATCAGTAACAGGGTATGTCTAGCTAGGTATTTGAATTTTAAGAGGTTATGCTTTAAGTCTAAATAACAAATACAAATTTACATATATTTGAGGATGTATCATGAACCAGATATTGGCTATCTGCCTCACATATATGATCTCATTAATTTACAAAAAGACTCAGAGTCCCCTGTTTACTTAGCCAACAGTGAGTGGGATTTAAAACTCCATTTGAGAAGTATCAGGTCTACCTCCATGAGTTGGAAGATGGCTGGGGTCCCAGGAGCCTTCCTGGTCTACTTCTTTTGCTGTGCTCTCCTGTGAATAACAGCAGAGCAAATCATTTTGGTGGTGATATCCTACAGCTGTAATCAGCTGATCCAACTTACTGAAGAGCACAAGAGGTAACACTGTTCCCACAGGCTTCAAGGGTGTCTGTACAGACAGGAAAGTTGTGCCAGTTCTAATAACAGTGTAATGAAGACCGCATGACCAGATTCCACTCCATGAGACCCTTATATCCAAATTATTTCAATGCAAAGTCTGTTGTGTTAATGTATTGGCATAGGATTAAGGAGGTTGCTGAAGAGTATATGCATTCCAGAAAAAAATGTTATCATGACCCTTAAATGAAATGATGTGTGCAAATCTTGCACATTGTAGACATTTAAAATTTTTATTCTCATTTCTCCACATTCTGTGACCTATTCAGTACTCAACTTGTTGTAAAACCATCTAAGTATCATTAATAAGAATAAATTTCTACCTTGCTGAAAGATGAATCAATCTCTTAATTCACCTAATATTTTTTTATTTTATCATCAAGGTTATAATAAATAAACATGTTCTCTCTCACACACACTGTTGCCTAAGAATTATACATTTCTGTGTATGAAAATTATCTTTCTATTTCCAAGTCTATTTCAATAAGATCTTGTTCGGTTAATTGCTTTAAAGGTTACAATCCATGGGAAACTGTGTAAGTTGCCAGTTCATCATCATTTAGCACCCTTTCAAACTGGTCTGTTCCCTGGATGCTACGTAGACAATTTAAGGAGCCAGATATAGAATGGATGAATGCAAGTAGATGCCTTGTTGCAGGCTGACCTGAATGACCATAGCTTTGCCCAAGGTTAGAGTCGCTCCTGAGCAGTACTCTAGATTTAGGCAGTATGCATAATAACAATTTGATACAAACCAACCTCTAGGTATAAGCATTTTTTATTGCCAAAGACAAGACTGCCTTGTCCAAATGACATACATGTATGTTTATTATTTAATCCTTGTCTATTTCCAAATTGGGTTTGTGGCAACTCATAACTTGAGCCATGCATATCATGGGACTTGTTAGTTGAGGATAAACACTCATGTGTTTTGGGACAGAGTTTTTCTGCAAAATTAGGCAGCTGTTGGTTGCTATAGTTTGGCAATAAATACAGCTCTGTGCTTTCTGGAATCCAAAGTCAAAAGAGAAGCATGATGAGTTATATAGAAATAAAAACAATATTAAAAAAGGAAGAAATACTTAAAATGTGCATTTTTTACTGGTACTAAAATTTTAGGAGATTTTGTCATGTGCATTCTTATATAAGGGCCACTGAACATCATAAGAAGATGTACTTAATTTTAGAGAAAATGAAGATCTATTGTTCAATTGGTCATTTATTGCATCAACCTTCAAAGAAATCTTAATGTACAGTATCAAGTATAACCCTTTAAGCTTATCCCAGTGTAATGATGAAATCCTTTTAGTTCTTGTCTCAGGAAAACTAATATGATGAAAAGCTAAAATGTATAAAATTGTTTAAAAATGCTTAACAAATGAATATACAACAATCAATATAGCAAACTAGATGAAATGAGCCATTAGTTTATCAACGTTTGTAGAGGAGACTACCAATCACTGGGCCTTCCTTGTATAAACTCACTAACAGCTCATCCTGCAGGCCCCAGCATTCTGTCAACATGCAATGGTTTCTCAGCAGAATTTCCCAGGCAGTGACATTTCAAAGTGGATCCTCAAAAATATCCACTGCAAGAGTGGTCTTCTAAGCCTGCCACCCCTACTTCATCCTTTCATAGATTCCATGAATTGGGCTGTTTCACATTTCCTTTAAGGAAAGGATTTCTATTGCCTTAAATAAAATTTTTTTTGTAATATACAGTATATATTTTCATACTCCTATGGTAACATGTATTTATTTTAGAAAATACACATTTACAGAAGGAAATACAATTAAAATCACATGTTCTTACTGATTTTATTAATAACTATTAATACTTGATTGTATCCATCTAATTATGTATTATATATTATGATATATATACATACACAAATAAATGCATACACTTAATATATACATGGATATATATGTATATAATTGTACTTTTCTAATTTTTAAGTAACTTGGATTTTGTAGCTCAAAAATTTATAGCAAATTTTTTCATGACATTCAATACTACATCATATGAACTTGCCATAATTTATTCTACCAATCTTTTGATTGTTTATAATTTTTAATTTTATTGAAAGGATAATTGTTGTAGCTAGGTATAAGGATTTTTATTTATATAACTGCCTAAAAACAAAATATAGGTTAATAGTAGGTTAATAGCAAGGCTAAAATTTTAAGGTTTTGGGGAGATTTGTCCAGATTGTTTTCTGGAAGATTAGTGTCCTTTTCTACTCCCACCAATGCTATAAATAAGAGCTCATTCACTCACATCTTCACCACTACCCTAAATGGTGTTAATCACTGCTAATCTGATAAACAAGTTCTATTTCATTCTGATTTCTACTTATTGTACTTTTTCTAAAGAAAAGCACTTTAATTTCATGTCATTTATTAGTCTTTGGTCAATCACCTGTTTGTGCCCTTTGTCCTTTTTTTGCCATTAAAATGCTTGTCTTTGCAATATTGTATTTTAGTTGCTATTTAGCTATTAAGAAAATTAACCTCATGGGTGTTTTATAAACTATAAATATTCTCCAATCTGTACTTGTATCTTGTAAAATGTGTTACTTGGTGGGGTGAGCTAAGGATCATGGTAAGTAAAAAAACCTTTTCAAGTATTATGTGGTTAATTTTAACTCCTAGAAAGTCCAGGTGTTTTTTAAATAATATATACATCCTTTTAATAAATTTCTGATTTTAATTTTTCACCAGAATCCAACTGGAATTTGTTTTGATATGAGTGTGGGGTATAGTAGGGATTTAATTTTCTTCCCAGATGGAAAGCCATTTGTCCTAACAATCATCAAACCTTAACTGTGAATTTAAAATGTCTACATATGTATGTATATGTATGTTCCTGGCTTTCTATTGTTCTACTGAGCTTTTGATCTTCACTGTTATAATTATTTCAGCTTCATGGTTCATTTTAATATCTAGTAGATCATTCTCTCACACCCTCTGCATTTTCAAAAGCTTCTATGCTATATTCATTTATTTATTATTCCAGATGGACTTGAAAATAAATTTGCTAATAACTTTTCCAAACATAAAATCACTTTGGGATTATGATTAAGGATGCATTAAATCTTTAGGTTAATTTGAAGAGAAGTGATATTTTTATAACACTGAGTCTTCCGAACCAAGAATGTTATGTCTCTCCATTTATTTGAGTCATATTTTATGACTCTCAGTAAATTTTTATAGTTGTGTTCACACTAGACCTAAAAATTTCTTAAGGATCTTTTTAACTACCTTATATTTGGGAAATAATGAGTAGGAACTTCTCCCATTATAGTTTCTAACTGGTTATTGACTGTATGCATACATCTAGGTTTCACCAGCCTATTGAGTTTGCCCTCTGTAGTTGTTAAATACAGAACTAGTATTGATGGGTAGAACTGGGACTGATAGGTAGAAGTTAAAATAAACTATTAGGTCTGTGAGGGCTTTATGATGCCAAAAACATGACTGAAGCATCCTAGACATTCAAAAAATACCTTTTAAGCAACTGAATGAATTATTTTAGCTCAACAAAAGGAAAACCTTCCCAAATCTGAACACCATAGTGCTTTGTAAGGTAGAAATTGATTTATAAGGCAGCAGTAAGTGTTTCTATGCCTGACAGTGTCCCTGGTGTCCCTTTATATTGGATGGTCAGGAAATTCCACAGCAGACCCATACATAGACTAAATGATGTATCATATATTACATTAATGTATAACTTTATTTTCCAGCTATTAAGTTAGGAATAAATACATGTAGACATAAGAATTGCCATGTCCAGAGGAATGTT